TCGAATCTGCATACCACCAAACATGCTCGCCCTTTCAGCCGTGGGGGCGTTATAATGTGACGGTCAATCCCACTATTCGTTGGTAAAGGAGTAGCCCAAGAGTTGGCGGTGGGTAATGACTAGCTGCCTTTCCTCTAGTCTTACACTGCTAAATTAGGGACGGCTAGCGCAGATAGCCCTCGTGTAGCTTTGCGCGAAATTCCAAAAAAAAACAAACAAAAAAAAATGATACAATGTCACACAAATCACTGATCTACAGATCACGCTTTGCCTGCATAAGACGTTATGAAGTATCATAATGCTCTTAACGACTACAGATCTCATAAGTCTGCTTTTAGATATTAACAAAGTACAAGGCTGAAATCTTAGTCTTTTGTTTGTTTGTAGTTAAGCATAAAGCTACACAATGGGCTATCTGTGCTATGCTCATCACGGGTATCGAAACCCGGTTTCTAGCATTGTAAGTCCGCAGACATACCGCTGTGCTACTGGGGAGGGTGGCTGCTCAGAAAGAAATCATTTTAAAAATCTAATATTGTTATTATATATATTAATTTAAAGTACATAGATCCTTTGAATTTCTTAGAAATCACAGATTTTAACTCGTAAACATTTACACGAAGAAAACCCGAGTCCAAAACTTTTAGAAATAAATAAACCAGATCTGTTTGAAACTACCTAATAATATAATATAAATATAATAATATAAAATGTTTCATTTTCGTAAACAAAGTAAATAAAATGAAAAATAGTAAAAAATACATGCAAATGTATTTGCTTCTTGCATTTTCTACTATGTGATTTCTTTAAAAACTATTACTAAGCCCACTTTCTTCGTAACTAAATAATTCACATGTTACTAACCCCTACTTGTGTCGTAACTAAACAATTCACGTGTTACTAACCCCTACTTGTGTCCTAAGTAAACACTTCACATGTTACTAACCCCTACTTGTGTCGTAAGTAAACAATTCACGTGTTACTAACCCCTACTTGTGTCCTAAGTAAACAATTCACATGTTACTAACTCCTACTTGTGTCGTAAGTAAACAATTTACATGTTACTAACCCCTACTTGTGTTCGAAGTAAACAATTCACATGTTACTAACCCCTACTTGTGTTCGAAGTAAACAATTCACATGTTACTAACTCCTACTTGTGTCGTAAGTAAACAATTTACATGTTACTAACCCCTACTTGTGTTCTAAGTAAACAATTCACATGTTACTAACTCCTACTTGTGTCGTAAGTAAACAATTTACATGTTACTAACCCCTACTTGTGTCGTAAGTAAACAATTACACACGTTATTTTTTATTTCGTCCATTACAAGAAATTACTATTAGTATAAATAGAACAACAAACTATATCTCCAGAACATATCTTTATTAACTTAATATTGATATTGCATCTTCGTCAGGGGCTATCGATAACCTGCAAGTTCGCTAATCCAATTGAAACCAAATTGGAACACCGTCCTCAGCTAATCGAACTTTGATACAGGTTCAGATGATATTGAATATAAAATCAAACACTACTAAATTTAAATAGCTGAAACAAACTAACAATGGTAAATAATTTTTTTCTTTACGACCTTAATTCCAACTAGTATGAGCTTGGCCTCTACACCAGAGACTAATCTTTATATTTGTTCATTTAAGGTTTATTTTGCCTGATTGAAACGGATTTTTAAATTTTTCGATCAAAAAAACTATGACATTTAGATAAGGTCTTAACATCCGCTAAGATATTATCTGCTTGTGATATGCCACGTTCTTTTCCTTAATGCAATAGTATTGAGTTTTTGGATGTCAGGTTCGTGTTCAGATATCCTATCATGTACGAACCGCCATGTTTCTTCAAAAAATAACGTTCTTACAATGGTATCCATCGTGCAGTCCATATATAGAGCCTGTACACAAATAATTTACTCATTGTATTTGTTTTTTACATGCTGAACTCGTTACTGGGGGTTTAAGGAAGATGATTGGTTTCTGTACTATTTTATTGGTATATTTATTACTCTAATTATTATCCTCAGTTAATTTTATGTAGTAACCTAAGCTTTAAATACGTGTTATTTATTTCCAAGGTTCAAGGGAACTTTTTCGCTTTGTTTTTGTCTATCAAAATGCCTGCCTTATTATATTTCATATATAATCCATATATAAGATTTTTTTTTTGTAAATTAGTCATCAAATTCTCCTAATCCTCCTTCTTTCTTTTAGCAAAAACGTGTGTCAATACTATTGACAAAACTACACTTCTTTGTTATTAACTGCAGGGAGATTGTGTGAGGAGAATCGGAAACGATAAGCTGTTTGTTTGTTTGTTATGGATTTCGCGCAAAGCTGCACGAGGGCTATCTGCGCTAGCCGTCCATAATTTAGCAGTGTAAGACTAGAGAGACGGAAGCTAGTCATCACCACCCAC